GTGGTGACGTGAAGTCATGTGACCGTGCTGTAGTTCCTTTATAGCCCAACATTAGCCACCTTTAGCTTAGCGGTGGTGACGTGAAGTCATGTGACCGTGCTGTAGTTCCTTTATAGCCCCTTTTTCATCAGCTGTGACCCAAGTCTCATATTTTCCAAGAGTCCGAGACCAAATCATTTTAATTTCCACTTGGATGGAGCTGAGTGATGTCCCCACATTGTGAGGGGAAGTCGTGCCGCACCCTATTCATGTTCGGTCCCGGGATACATCTTCAGCTGTCAGGGGTTTACTCTGAGTTCAGTCAATTTTCATGACAGCTCTGTACTCCGCAGAGGCATCTGATGAATGTCCGTCCATGTGGAAAGAACTGCAGTGCTCTCTCAGAATTACAGGGGAAGGGAATTCATCACACACACACACACACACACACACACACACACACACACACACACACACACACACACACACACACACACACACACACACACACACACACACACACACAATATATATATAGGATATATTGTAGGTCACACGAGGTTAAAGTTAGTGTGAACTGAGGCCTATGCTGCGGTGGAATTGTCAAAAAAATCAGGATCTATATTTTTTTCGAACTACTTTTCTCAGTGAATAAAGTAGATTATGAAAGATGTTTAATCCGGACTTTCAACGACAGTTATGCATTTTTACAAGACCCATCATAGTTATCTACCTCCCCAATACATATACAGTACATAGTCTTTATATATATATATTAGGGCCGGGACTCGATTAAAAAAATTAATCTAATTAATTACAGGCTTTGTAATTAATTAATCGCAATTAATCGCATTTTTAATCGCATATAAATATTTGACCTAAGAACAGTGAAAAGCAATTTTTTTCACATGGATTTTAGTATACCATTGAATAATGACTGAATACATAAGCTTAAGCAACAAAACATTGTTTATTTTTATCAAGGAGGTTCTTAACCAAGACCAACAGAAAAGTGCAATTTTTGCCATAAAGTGTAGCAATAGCATATTTAGGAATATAGTACATTTCAGAGATTCAGGTAGCCTATAGGTAGGTAGACCTTCTGTAAACTATAACACTTTGTTTTTTAAGTATAACACAATACTTTCAAGTACATTCAGAACATTGGAAACCCTGACTATTAGAAAACATCTCTCTGTTGCTTCAGAGGCCATAACAGACTTTGTTGATGTAAATCAACAAAGTCTGTTATGGCCTCTGAAGCAACAGAGAGATGTTTTCTAATAGTCAGGGTTTCCAATGTTCTGAATGTACTTGAAAGTATTGTGTTATACNACACACACACACACACACACACACACACACACACACACACACACACACACACACACACACACACAGGCGTACCTTCTCTGAGGATGTGGTTGTGGAGGATCAGGAGGATCAGGAAGCAGGCCGCGGCGGCAGTCAGAGCCCAGGCCAGCCGGAGGAGCTGCATGAGGGAGAAACTCTGTCCAAAAAGTCCAAACTGTGAATATCCTGGAGCCTCCTCACTGCAACTCATCCATCCCAGAGACAGGTGGCATCTCCAGATGTTACAAATCCACAGCGGGGGAGGCTTTTTAACCGTCGTGTCGTATACGTTTCAACTCTTTTCTTTGGTGTTCTCGGTCAAATGTCACCGGTCTGTTTTAACTGCTCTTATATTAACACAAAATCCAGTAATCATCACCAAATTATATTTAATAAGCTGTAAACAATGTCTCAGATTACTGGTTTACAGGAATAACTGCAGTGAATAGCTATACAAAGGATAGACACTGGAAATGTAAAATTAACTTGTTGTGGATCTGTGACTGTGAGTGTGTACCATCTGATGGAAGAACATCATCCAGGGTTACGTATTCATTTACTATGTTGTTCATTTTTGACCGGGAACATCATAGATGTTACAAAGTTGACTAACCCACTCAGAATTCAATGGAAGTGGTGATCAGCCATTGTAGTATATGTTCAAATGCAAATCGTGGAGGGCCTTGAAGCGTCCAAATATTTAGGACTGATGAAAGTAGACACAGAACACAGGAGGGTAAACGCAGCAGAGGTTTGTGTTTCCCCTCCACCTCAGCATGTTCTTCAAAAACACAAAATCTGCTCCGGATGTGGAATGTCCCAGTCCTCAAGAGTCTCCAAAATCCCCCCAGAAGTGAAGAGAAACGACACCGTGATTAATTATCATCAATGCGAGACTTTATAAATTAAGTTAAACATGCAACAACACGGCAATGCTGCTTTTAATGAAAAACAGTCATTATGGATGAAGTCTGTTTTGTTGCACATTTTCTTTTTCTTAAAGCAGTACAAGTCCGTCCTTAGTTAGAGACATGGTGCAGATCCAGATAATCTTTAGAGGAACCATCCGACTTGACATCAGCAGGGTGGACAGATTTAAATAGAAGAAGAAGAAGAAGAAGAAATGATCAGGCAGCTGCTTCACATAAATAGAGATCCACCGGGGGTCTCAGTCCGCGTAATTCCCACCACAAGTGCGGGAAGAAACGACACCAAGTGTAGCTGACGATCAGCGGGCATGTTGCACTAGTTCCAGCCGGGATTGATGCCCCGCAGACCGGCTGCTCGATGCCTGGCTGTCCGCTGGAGAAGAGTTGATGAGGAAGAGGAGGAGGTGCAGCTGCTGCCTCCGGTTCTGAAGATCTTACCGCGATCTGCAACCTCCTCTCTCTCTCTCTCTCTCTCTCTCTCTCTCTCTAAACAAAAAGGAAAATGTGTTTCGCAGGAGTGAACAAATTGTTGAAAATGCAACCAGTGAGTGTTTTCGTACCTTATGTCCTTAAGTGTGTGCCGTGTGTGTTGGTGGAGAGGGTGCGACGAAAGCGTCAAAGTTGTGAACATAAGTGTCGTCAACTAACTGTTCCACTCTTCCTAGCGCCAACTGGGAGGAGTAGCAAACCACTCTGTATCTCGGCGTAATCTTTCAGTCTCACGTTCATTTGTGTGGTACTTCCCTCTTCTCTCGCTCTCGTCTCTCCCTCGACTGGGACCTTCCCGAGTTAGCGAGTCGTCCTTTGTTTGTTGACTAATTTTTTCAAAAGTGTATGGAATACTGAAAACGCTAATATTCTCAAATATTAAACAATTATGCAAAAGAATTTTGTTAAGGAAATACGACACTATATTATTATTATTATTATTATTATTATTAATTGATAATTGTTATATAATCAGTATATTATTATTATTATTATTATTATTATGTATTGTGTGTGTGTGTGTGTGTTGTGTGTGTGTGGTGTGTGTGTGTGTGTGTGTGGTGTGTGTGTGGGTGTGTGTGTGTGTGGTGTGTGTGTGTGTGTCGTCTGTGTGTGTGTCCTGCGTGGCGTTAGTCAGAGAACGTTCGGTCATCTACCTAAAATACTTGCACCCTAACACTGCAGTCAATCACTAGCTCTCTCTCTTTCGCTTCTCTCTCTCTCTCCACACACCACACACCACACACACACACACACACACCACACACACACACACCACTCTCTCTCATCTCCACTCTCTCCTTCTCTCTCTTCTCTC